GACTAATAACAAAAAGTGGAAGAAGAAAGAGAGTGATCTACTCATTAGATGGATGTAGTGTCTAAAGTCCCAAAGAAACATTGACACAAAAGTGATTCAAGACATATCAACTCACAAATCAAAAAAAAGACAAGAATTAGAAAAGGAAGAAAAAAAAAGAATACATTATTAGATTTATTAGAAAAGATTTTTGTAAAAGTTTTCAAGAATAGAGAGATTTTTAACAAAATACAAGAGAAGTTTCTGGGAAGAAAACCAAAACTTAGAAAGAAAAAAGGAAAGAAAAAGGTAAAGAAGAGAAAAAAAAAGATCTTCATACTCAGAATACAGAAAGAAAACAATTTAAGCAGACTATCCAAGACTTAAAAATAGAAAAACCAAAGGAGAACCCAATATATTTTGAAGAAAAGAAGGCTTACAGAAGAATATTTCCAGAGAAGACCTTTGGAGTGAGCTCTTAGGAAATAGAAGAAGAATATGAAGATATGATACAAGAAAAAAGCATTAAAGAGAAGGATACAAGAAGACTTCAGAAAGCCGGGTCTCTAATCAGAAAAGACAGAATAAATTGGAAGAGAAGAAAAAAGAAACGTAAATATAAATAAAAAAATTCAGGCAATAACCCTTTATTAAGAAATATAATAAAATTGTTTATTACAGTATATAATGTTTTATATTAGCTTTGATCTAATAAAGATACTGGCGAGGCTGCCAATAATAGAAAAAAAAAACTATACTAACCAATATATCTAAGCTTACACACTCTGTAATTGTAGCTTTATTGACATCTAAAGCAGAGAAGTTAGTAAAAAATAGACACTAGTAGTTTAAACTATTGTTTACTATTAAGGCATATAACTGATATATTATAATCTTCTGGGTTCTACTTGTAAATATTCTGTTATTTATATCTAAAATAAACAATTTCATTATACTATATAAACTTTTGGTAACCATCCTCTGGGTGCTAAACAATGATAATTGTTTTGGTAATTAGGTTGTTAATCTTTTGATAAGGGTAAACTAAATTATTTACTTTTGTTGAAAATTTTCTTAAACAAAAGTGAGAGATCAACAGGACTTTGTGAATTATTTCTTATAAGTTTTAAAGTTGTATAAAAATATCTTTTGGTTTTTAAAAATTTTGGTATTAACCTAATCATTTTGTATTTCCAAAATATCTTTTTGGTTTAGGTGCTGAATATAATAAAAGAGTCTGCTAAGAAGAAAGATCGACTTCTTCAAAAACCAGTTTAAAGTAACCCACTTCTTGGTTTTATACTCTTGATATTTTGTCAACAATATATCTATTTTCGTAAGACCAAAAATAGTTCTATTATGGTGTTTTCTATAATATTTTTTCTATAGTTCAATTTTTTGGATTGTTAGCTAGATGATTATCAGAAAAAGTTGTGTATAGTTTTAATGAAAATCTTTTTTATATTTTTATTTTTTTATAATTTTTTAAAGTATACTTAATTTAGTACAAAGGTGTAAATCTAAACTATTAATTTTAAAATATTTTTAATAATTAATTTTTAGCCAATCAAAATGCGAGAATTCAAATATAAAATTTTTAAAAAATAAAAAATAAGATTAGTAAAACAACCAAAATTCAACAGATTGACCAAAATTTAAAGCCAGAATAAGCCGGAATTGATAAATTTCTTCCAAAATCACCCAAAATTTTACTAATAAAATGGTAGCTCACGTACTAAATAAAGCTGCCCAGATGATAATTTTGCTGTAGTATAATGAGCTAATATTATTGCTTAATGCTGGTCTAGCTCTGGGCTCATTCTGACCCTAAATATAGATCGATCTGCTGAATTTTGGTTGCTCCAATAATCTATCCAAAAAGGAGACAATCACGTAATCCCAGCCTTTGGATATCGCCATTGTTAAATTACACCAGTGGTGTTTAACACAGTTGCTATTTCTCAAAAACTGTCTAAATAACCAAGGCCGGATGTATTAAGTAAAAATGTTTAACAGCCCAAAAAACTTACCCCAACTTTATTTTTAGCCTTAATTTTTAGTCTATAGCATCTAATTTTATCTTAATTTTAACCCTAACCTTAAATATTGACAACAATATTATAAAATTATATGGTGTTCAACACCACTGGTGCGATTTATAATAATTGAAAACCATTTAAAGAAATGCAAAGAAAATTAGGCAGATCCAAAACTGTCATTGTATACAAATAAGGAAGTTATCTTACTGAGTTTTTTGAAAATTCCTATAGCGATAGCAACATACCCTTAGAAGCGATACTGGTATGTAACACTATGAGCAAGTTGGGAGTTTCCAAATTATATAGCAAAAAATTACGCATTTTAATATCGCTATGTCGAATTATAATAAATCGGAAAAATAGAATTCTTGTCTATCATTCAATGAAATCAAACTATGCTTATTTAAGGGTAGGGTGTACGTAGATTCATTTTTACTAGTAATCATGTTGTATTTCATATGATATCATATGATTTTCATATGATTTGACCGATCAGAACTAGCAATTTCTGTGTAACCCCGGAAAAACATATAGCGACCCCGGAAACTTTGATTATATATAAAGTTCATTTTTTTTAAAGCAATGTATATTCCGCAACTTCACTATTATAAACAAACTAGTTTAAACTACATATCATATAAATTTGATAAAAATTAACTAAGATATTAAAAAGTTTCATCAGAGGCATTTTTTTATTTATATACTATGTAAAAATTCAATGTACCATGAAAAATGATCTACGTACACCCTACCCTTAAGCCAAAATTTGAGATGCTATTTGACTTTCAAACTTTCTCAAAATAAATGAAAAGTATGATTTTTACGATTTATATTTTTAACATTAAATTGGAAAACCAGAAATTGGTTTGGTTAAATAAATTTATTTAATGATTATAAGGTGGCATGAAAAATCAAAAAGGACTCTACCTTAGTTTGATTCAACCCAGACCGTTGGGTTCTCGTACAACATCTGCACTTAGCAACGCTCGCATGATTGATGATCTAAATTCTGTACAATATCCACCAAATATCAGAGCTCCTAATCCTAATTTAAATATTAATTCTTTACCCGGAAAATATAGATATGATCGTATCTTCTTGATGCAATTCATGAATATTTGTAAAGAGAGACCAGAAAATTTATCTGAGTCCGATGCTAAGATTGGTATGGATATGACTAGGGATGACAAAAAAAAGTCAAAGACAAGTCGTAAACATGATCGTACAATTACAACTTCTACACTTAGTAAAGCTCATATAATTAATGATTTAAGTTCTGTGTATCTAAATTCTGTGAATGTTTATAAAGAGAGACCAGAAAATTTATTTGAGTTCGATGCTATGACTGATATGAGTTATCTTAGACATGATCGTACAATTACAACTTCTGCACTTAGCAACGCTCGCATAATTAATGATCTAAGTTCTGTGCAAGATCCATCAAATGTTAAAGCTCCTAATCCTAATTTAAATATTAATTCTTTGCCTGGAAAATGTAACTATGATCGTACCTTTTTGATGCAATTCATGAATATTTGTAAAGAGAGACCAGAAAATTTATCTGAATCTGATGCTATAATTGGTATGGATGTGACTAAGGATGACGAAAAAAAGTCAAGGGAGAGCCGTCGTAGACGTGAAAAAAACGAATATCAGCTATCTCAAACCGAGGGACAAGAAAAAATTACATCTTTTGAGCCTATAGAGGTTCCTGGCGTAGCAAATCCCATACCTAGAACGTCAAATGAATTATTCAAATCGAAGTTGTTAAGAAGAGCCGTCGTAAACGTAAAAAAGATATCTCAAGATAAAACTACATTTAGAGCGTTAGATGAGTTTATGCCAATTGAAGTTGTCCAACGTAAAGTGAAGGCCCTTTTAAACAAACTAGCATTAGCAAACTTCGATAGTATATCGGACCAAATTATTGATTATGCGAATAAATCTAGATTTGAAAGAGATGGTCGTATAATTAAAGAGATTATCCGACTTATTTTCGAGAAATTTGTTGATGGGCCAGCTTTTATTCAAACATATGCACAGCTTTGTCGTAAAATGATGGAAAGAGTTGATATTGAAATAGTGGATGAGAATGTTAAAAACTCCAAGGGCAAATTTATTCAAGGAGCTACATTATTCAGGAGGTATCTACTAAATAGATGTCGAGAAGATTTCGAAAAAAGCTGGAAGTTAAATCTTCCAATTCCTTCAAATGAAAAAGGTGAACCTGATATTATGTCAGATGAATACTATATTGCTAAAGCAAAAAGACGTGGTCTTGGTTTCATACTCTTTATTGGTGAACTATTTAAGTTGAATATGCTTACTGAGCGCATAATACACCAGTATATTAAAAAATTTTTAACAGTTCATGGAGTTCCTGAAGAGGAGGAAATGGAAGGCTTGTGCAAACTCATGACGACAGTAGGACAACAACTTGATCATGCGAAGGCGAAAACACACATGGATGCCTACTTCCTTCGTATGGATGACATGTCCAGAAATACGAAGTTGCCCAGCAGGATTAGGTTTATGATTATGGTATACTTTATTTATTTATTTATTATTGAGATTTATATTTTTCTTTATGGTGACATCTTAAATAATATAACAGGATGTTATTGATCTTCGAAATAATAACTGGGTGCCACGACGCGACAATAATAACATCTAATGCTACCGCCACATTGGTTTAGCTGGTAAAAACATGTTTAAGCCATTCAGATTTATAAGATCTACCGTTACCTATATCTCATTTATTTTATTCATTTCAATAAGTGTAGATATATTATGTCACTTATTTACGTCTTAGAGGAAGGACAAAAATAAGCTAATTTTATAGAGTGCGGGTTTTTTTTGTTTAGTCAAGCCTTTATAAATTCGTTAAATTTGTTTAGTTAATTTTTGATCAGGTACGTAGGTGATGGAGAGTATAGTCTCTTATTAAATAGAATCATCTGATTTCTGCCCTCTCCTTTTATAAAGGAATGTTCAGATCATATGAAAATCCAGTTATTATTCTGTCTTAATGATTACTAGAGTAGTACGCTAATTTAATTTGTTTTTTTTTGGAAAAAGTACTGTATCAATAGATCAGATATTCGTCTTGGTAATCTAGTCATACCACGAGATCGTTAATAATTCAGTTAATCCTGTTTTCTTGAACGCTAGGTAGTGGTAACATTGGGTTGCCCACTAAACTGAAGAGGGTGAACGAAGTGTGATTTGATCCACTCTGAAAAAGTTATGAAAGGCGAAGTAACAGTGCTCGAATAAGATACGTACGTACGTACAAATTTACAAACTTGTGATACAATCGTACGTATGCACTTCTAAACAAGTCATGTGTTATTAATTTAATTTTTATATCAATATTTAAAAAATATTGAAAAAAGTTGACAATCCCAAGGGATAAATAAAATACAAAAAATTTATCAATTTTAGATGTTACCAAGATATCTTTGTTAATAGTTTGAAAAAAAATAATCATAATTGAATAATTTCGTCCAATCGGAATGTGACTATTCATATATGGTTATGTGTTATAAGGAATACATTTAAAAAATTATACGATCATCCTGATATGGATTAACGGTTTAGAGCGCCGAGTACGTGACCGCACTATCACGGGTTCGATTCCGGCTGGTGCCATGATGTAATGCCCGTAATCCAGATCGCCTAGCTGAAGTATCAGGTGATCAATTTCGGCCTTGATTTAGTTATTTTGCTATTTTGCCAAAATCGTCCAATCATGATCAAGGATTATCAAAAAAAATTCTACGTACACGAAAATTTTTACGTATTATAAAATGGATTTTCATAATCAATTATTACTAGGAAAATGGAAACCATTTAAAGTTCGAAGGAACTAGAACGATTTTTTATGTTACACCAAATCTAGCCAATAAAATCGATTATCTATTGTTTTGATTGTTTTTTCTTTTACATTACACCTGATCTAGCCAATCACAATCCAGAATTTGCTAACACACAGACATCGGATGTACTATC